CTATTTTGTTTTTTTCTGTCATAAAAAGTCTTACTTCAAAATAATTAATATTTTATTTAACTTAACATAACAATGTGTACCCTCTTCCAGTATGCTCAAACTTTCAGTTCACAATTGTATATAATTAAAGTTAATGCGAAAAACATGAAAGCAGATTTTTCTTGAATGCGACATTTTAAACTTACATAAATATTATACGGTAAAAATACAATGTATGTGGTATTTAATAATTCCTACATTAGATTCATCAACCATAATGTAAAGAGTCTAAATTGCAGTTATTGTAAAGGCAGTTCAGATATACTGATAAAAAAGCATTATCTTAGTGCTCTCGAAATGCTGTAATGAGTTTTGTAATTTGTGTTGAGTATTAAATCAATTTTTGTTGTATCTAACGTATTAGTTTATTTGTATACTATTCAATTATTGTCATTGCGTTTTTATTTTGTTTTTCTTTGTAGGTTGGTGTATCTGATCCTAGCAGTGCTGTCGGACGTCCAGGTTTGGTTGATCAGGCGCATTTTGCTCGAGCGGCACAATCTATTCGCGAAGGTTGTTCTTCACTTACATCTATGACAAGTTCTCAACAACAAGTTCTAGCAGCTGCTACTGTTATTGCAAAGCATACCAGTGCTTTATGTAACGCATGTAGAATGGCTAGCTCAAAGACAACAAACCCTGTTGCCAAACGTCAGTTTGTGCAAAGTGCAAAAGATGTAGCTAATTCAACCGCTCATCTAGTTAAAGAAATCAAAGCTCTTGATTTAAATTACTCGGCGGAAAATAGGAATAGGTGCAATGAAGCAACTAAACCTCTTCTTGGTAAATATCTATACTATGAGAATGCATATTTAGTCTATTAAAGAGTTAATTTCTAGATGCTGTTGATATGCTCTGCTTATTTTCGAGTTCAAGTGAATTTGCAAGCATACCTGCAAAAATATCTTCTCAAGCACGAGCATCTCAAGAACCTATAGTAAATGCTGGTCAGAGACTCATAGAAAGTTCTTGTGATGTTATTAATTCTGCAAGAAGTTTAATCATACGCCCTCAAGACCCTCCAACATGGCAACAGTTTGCAACATTCTCAAAAAGTGTATCAAATTCAATTAAGGATCTTGTATCCAATTTGAGGTAAGCATATTGAGGCTTAACAAATGAATATGTAGATCAGTAGTGAATTCTTGGGCAGAACATCAAAAGATGAAACATTATATTTTAATGAAACACATCCGTGGTTTGCAACAGACTAACTATATTTTTATAATGTCATAGAGACTATACTCCGTATCACGTTAAGTGGCGGCACAAGTAATAAAACTGCCAAGAAGTGACCGCCCTTGTTTACGCCCAGCTGGAAATACAATATTATGGCATCATTCAAATGAAAGACGTTTTGTATTCTATTAACCACTTCTGCTTTCTTGTTTATCGAAACCTAAACGGAGGTTCGAATCTCAGCTGAACAGATAGACCCACTAAGGACTATTGTCCCTTGAAATTGTCACTAAATAAAGTTTAGGCTGCCCTCTTGTTTGGTGCACATGTCGGTCATTCAATTTATCTGAAATATTGTTAATACATTGCAGTTTGTTCAAAGTTACACAATCTTTTTTAACAATTACATTCATGCCAAGACAATTTTTTATCTCCTAAATTTTTAGTTTTTAATTCAGACACTAGAATACTTCTCAAAGAATTGTAGATATTTTCACAGTTGTAAAACACAAAAAATCATCCATATGTAATGCTACACTGTCTTGATATTTTGTGAATAGACGGTTCATATTCTGACTTTTTGAAACCTAAATTTAACAAAATAGATTCCACCTTTGTGTACCAACCTCTAGCTAAATTTACTTTCAAAATCTTTAAAATTTGAATTATCTGATATTTCCATAAACACACATTCATAAGTTCATTCAGAAAAGCTGATACATCTAAGTGGTTCATTTTTAAGTTAAGTCCTACAGTTAAGACAAACAAACTGGTGAAAAAATTTCATACCTTTGGGTAGGTTTTTAAACAATTTTCTTTATAAGTAAATATTTTATAGTTATATACTCTATCAACGCAGTAATAGGTGAAGGTAAAGTTGGTGTAATAGCAGGTTCTTTTGAATTAGGCAATAGAAATGATAAGGGAGATAGAGAGACTGTTAGAATTTTGCGATAAACATAACTTAACCGTCGCGAATACTTTATTCAACCGTCACGTTAGGAGGCTCTACACGTGGAAGATGTCAGGTGATTTAGGGAGATATCAGTTAGATTACATACTTATTAGGCAAAGATTTAAGAATCAAGTGAAGGACTATGAGTTATCCAGGAGCAGATATATGAAGACCAAATTGATAATTCAGAAAAAGAGAAGACCAAATTGAAAATTCTAAAAAAGAGAAGACCAAATTGAAAATTCTGAAAAAGAGGGAATCTAAGGGGCGTCTCGACTAAAAAAAGTAGACTGTAACGAAGCCGTTCCTGACTTCTCCTCTACAGTTTAAGTTGCAATCGCTTATAATGTGATATATGCTCAACAGTCGTTTATACAATACAAATACAAATTGTTTCCGTTCGAGGAAGGTACAGGTATAATGCATGTATATAAAATAGGGAAAGGTGGGCATCGTTGTACACCTTCCCCTATTCTACATACATACATTGTACCCGTACCGTCCTCGAATGGGAACAATTTATATCTATTTATATTGTTATCTTTATATCTATCTGTCAGATATCTATCTATCTTATAAGTATTATAATGTTTGTTTTGTTGCAACTTCTTGGTATTATTTGTAGATATATGTAGTTTCTCTTGCTTGCTTCATACTCTTGTTAAACACCAGGATGAGACATTTATCACAAACCTATTTTGTTTTTTTCTGTCGATATTTCGAATGTAACGGTTGCATATTTATTCTATTAAATTTATAAAGCTCTTTGGTAAACCATTCTCATTATTTCTAGATTTAATATAATTTAAGATATTGCACAGAACTAATTTAGCACTGATGTGTTCATTATTACTCTTGTTCATTTTGGTGATATAATTATTTATATAAATCTAAAAAC